CAGTGCACGCTATACGAGGGGGAAATCAATTAATATATATATATTTTTTCCTTTGGCTAAACTTTTCACTATGAGGAGCTCCTAGGACCCCAAGTGTGACAATAACTATGTGGTAGTTAAAATTACGGGTTGTAGCTCTCTCCTCCACAGAGGCTCCCCTGGGGAGAAAGAAAAAGAGAGCGCGGGGGGCACGATGGGAAGGGGAAAGAGAGAAGAGAGGCTCCCACCTTCTCCATCTTCCCATCGTCCCCCGCGCGCTTTCTATTTTTTCGATTATTGCTATTTTTATAGGGAAACCAGCGGGAGTCTCTGCGGAGGAGAGAGGGGTTGTAGCAAAATCACAGACTTCTTTGAGTGCATTTTGTAATAAGATTACATCAGGAAACTTTAAAATTATTCGCTGATGTTCTTGGTGCCTTCATAGTGAAAAGTAAGCATTTTTGTGATCTCCTCACACAAGACTTTCCACTTCTTTCCATGATGGTTTTCATCCACTTTGTCGGGGTGATAAACACTCAGAGCTTTCACCAGAATCTTTTTGTACTCTTTTGACTTTCTTTCCAACGATTCCCACTTTTTCATCTCTTTGTCACTTGGCTTTTTCCATGTTAATGTTTTGGGAGGATAGTTGAGGTACAAGTGCTTAATTAGAGGAATCGCCCTTGATTTATAAGCTCGTATATCTTCCAGTTCCTCGCTTAGTTCTTCCATAAACTTGGCTCGCTGTTTTTGTTTTTCTTGCTCATCTCTTGCCCGAGCTTCATCTTGGTATCTCTTAAGCGCACTAGCGCAATCTTTGTACCACGTCTGCGAGGTGAAGACTCGAGGCTTCAGGGACTCGGCTAGCTCAAAGCTATGGGTGAAGTACGCCTTCGCTCGAAGCGTTAACTTCAGTACCTTGTCATACACCACACCAAGGCGACTTTCAGCAATGGCCTCCTGCTCTATGTCAACTTCTCTGGAGAGGACAACAGCTTGCTTGTACCAGTCAATAACTTCAAAAACTAAAGTCATGTCGAGGTCTTCTTGTTCTTGCAGAGCCACTTGTAGAAGCTGGTCTCCTTGCACGCGCGCTTGAATCGACGAGGCCGAACAGGTATGGTAAAATACATCTTGCTCTAGCGTCCGCGCTTCCGTCAACATCTCGTGTGTAGCACGCGTGACGCCCGCGTAACGACACAGGCGCTTGACTTCTTCAATGGGTCGGTAGCAATCCTTCATGCGTATCAGACATTTCTTGTAGTCACCATTTTGTAGTTTAGTGGTACCGTCATGAAAGTAAAGCGTAGCAAGATTGATTTGTATGTCGGGGGCAGCTTCGATCACCGTGTTTATAGAACATAGCTTCTCCAGCTGCGCGATCCTTTGATCGACATCACCCAGAGCGTCGGCTTCATTCAGGACTTCTTGTAAACAAACATTGAGCGTTTCAAAGACTTCTTCTCTCCACTCAGCGTCTTTACAAGCCTCGCTGTGATTGTAAGCAATGCATAATCCTTTAATCGCTTCATGCAGATAAAAGATAATCGTTTTCGGTTTCTCTTCTTGCTTGCTGAGTACTCCAGCTATCTTCCAAGCTGCCTTACCGATGTTCTTCGCCGCAGAACACTCGTCGTCTCGATCACCTACCGCTTTGTCTTTCGCACGGTAGTAGCAAGTCAGCGCTTGTTCGAAAAGATCCTTTGCTTCTCGAAGTGAGGAGCTCGCCAGAGCACGACCTGCTCGACGAAAAAAATCATTGCCTTGATTTCTGATCTCGCTGGAGAGAGTAGACGACATAGCTCACTTCCGCCTTTCGGGAAGAACAAATTAATCATGGGAGACAATGTTATTCATAATTTGTTTTGAAAGTATCCTGAAAGCGAGGCGCAAAACATTACGTCATCTTCAGTGTTGTTAAAATGATCTTGAGTATCGGGTTCTTATTACTTCTTATCGAACATCCTGACAGAGCCTATCTGAGAGAGACGAGAGTCCTTAATCGCGTACCCTTGATCTTTACAAAACATAACGAATGAAAGTACCTGGGGGTGGGGGGAGTAAGCATTCATTTCTTTGGCCTAAACGATTATGTGCCACCAGACGTGGTAGAGTTAATTTTCAATTGTCAGTGCAACTTCTTTAGTTTCAGCGTCTTAGGGTTGTGTTTTTGTACACCAAGCATTTGCAACTTTTTTTTTAAAAAAAATACTTATTCTGTATGCAAAACTAGATGAGTCAGGGTCTTAAAATAAGATCTCTTGTCTTAAACAGGGTAGCGAAATGAGGTTTTTTTGGTGTCTGAAACAGGTTCAGCGTTTGAAGGCGAGTTGGCAGCACACCTCTACCAAAACTTCCATTGAGTGCCCTCTCCCCCATCCCCTAGAAAACGTTGGGCGCTTTCCATTCACCAAAAATATATTCCGGCCTGAAATTTTGACTCGTTTTACGTGTCCAGTGGAACGGTACATTACGGTTACACAGACCCAGTCCAAGCCACCGCGCGTTTGGTTATTGTTCTTGTGAGCAGGATACAAAAGAGCGGTACTGGGGGCAACAATTTTGTCAAATGGAAAGGGGCATTTCGGGATAACCGGACAGGTCAAAGTAGACCACCTTCAAAGCTGGTCTTGAATATTCCGGTCGGAATGGTACGCTCTATGTGATGTCCCAATGACCGAAATTTCTGGAATTCTGGGTTGAATGGAAGGGGCCTGTTAACTCTCTCTCACATAGCAAAAGAAGAAGTATGCGCCTTGGTTTTCGTACAACCTCACGCTCTACACAGCAATGGTCGCGTCACTGCGAAGACAAATTAACTGCAATAACGCGTGTCTCACTCAAGAGTTCTCTAAAAATACCTCTAGCAGCGGCTGGTATTTAAAGTTTGAAATACGCGAATCTATTTGTTACCCTTGCCTTTCGTTTTATATTCTTTTTTCCCGCCTTTCAAGAATTTAATTTACCGTCAGGAGCTAATACAGTCCAACCTTTAATAGCGACCACCTCTCCACAAAGGCAGTTTTTTTTTGGTTTGTCCCAATGCTCAGTCCGTATATCTTTGGTTTTTAACCTGCTGTCCATGCACAATGAAAATTGCAGCCCAACTGCTAAAGTAACAGCCAAAAGAGCTGGTGAGTCTTAGGCAAAGCACGCACTCTGTTAGCGTGTTGAAATGATCTTGAAAAACCAAAAAGCTTTTTAATACTGACGTTTTTGCCGCCGTCGCAGTCGTCGTTGCTAACGACAGAGGCACGTGGGAGATGCGCGCGGGCGAAGATGGGAACAAGGAAAGAGAGGCTCTCCTTTCCTTCATTTCTTAATTTTTTCTTTTCCTTTAGTCAACGTTTCGTCATAGTCCTCCGCGACCGCGTACGAATGAGAAGAGACGACTGGGGACTGAAGATTAGAGACTTGACGGACAGGTAAAAGCTGTTTTTAACAAAACCAGTGAATATCAAGAATATGACACTGACTTGATTCCGTGAATTTCATTTACCCGTCTAAAAAAATTCTTGTTTGCTTAATAATAGGTTTAAAATGCCAGTACCACCAAATGACTGTACAACATCTGTTGGAACGTTTTCCGCAAAACGAACTTGTATTTCAATCGCAAACACCTCGAACTCCAGGGCATCCTGGGAAACCCATCAGTTAGGTTGGGAGAAAAGGTGCGCCAAAAGCTTTGACAACTTTCGTCGCGCCTTTTCTCCCGACCCGACTGACTGCCCATGGCTTTCCGAGGATGACTCCAGGGATGATACTCTATACAGAGTACCTTCAAAAAGTACTGGGCATTTCCAGATTCAAAGGATTCGTTGCCGTGTTGGATCGCACTATGGGACTGGTTTGGAGACGCCACCAATTACTTTAGTAGGGACCTAAAGCAACGACGAGGATGGCGAAAACGTCACTTAAAAAGTGAATTCACGCTGTTTCAAAATTCATCGCTCTTATTCCAAGGCGTTCAATTTGTCATATGTTGTTGGATTTTTAAATTCTAAAGGACTGTAACTAAGGGCCTGTTTACATGGAGGTGGGGGACCCCTGAAAGGTGAGGTAACATGTAGCGGGTCACCCCACCTCTGATGTAAACGTGATCATATTAAAATGAGAGATTATATGGACAGGCGGGTTACCCCACCTAAGCGGGTTACCTCACCTACCTGGGGTTCCCCACCTCCATGTAATCATGCCCTAAGCTTAAAAAAGAATTTAGATAATTGCTGTCTTATGTTCATGTCCTCCAGAAAACGCGAAATTACAGTGTAGGCAGTTTCTCGTCGTGGTCGAGCTACGACAGCAAAGAAAAAAAAAAGCGTGAAACACGTGCAAAGGTGTTGTTTTGCTTATCTAAACCTATTGTGTTTTTGCCGTTCTCGTTGATGTCGTCGCCGTCGTTGCTGAAGCGCTCTACTGGCTATTCTCGGCTTGCACTGTCACGCAATGAAAAATAAAAATGCAAACCATTCAATACAGAAGGACTAGAATCTGGGAAATGAAAAAAGATAAATATACAAAAACCCTTGCCAAGAATCAGGTCTGTGAAATATTTCAAATGCGAGATATTGGGAAAAACGGTGTACCTAAATTTATAAAGCTTTGTATGGAAACGCCATGTTGGTGTCCCTTTCAGGAACACCAATATGGCCGCCGGATACTAACAGAAACATCTGTTTTCGAGTTTTCCCACTAATGCGTGAATTCTTCGCTTGAGGAACTCATAAAGATTACAGTAATATTTATTCTGACACAAGGAATGTTTAGATTGCAAAATCTCCCAAAATCGGTAATGTTTTTAACCAACATAAGAGCTTTCCCGGCCGCCAGCTTAATGCCGCGTCACGCAAAAGCCTGGAAATTCAAGCGTCCTCTCGCGCAAAACGAAGGACCCTTTCGAACCAAAAATTTGTTTATGTAAAGGTGTTTAGGTACTGTAATACCTCGTGAAAGTAGAACTCAGAAGAATCGATAGTTTCTTAGTTTGATTTTTGGTGACGTCACGTGCAACCCAAGAATTG